GATGTCCCCTGAAACCATGGTCGCCAGACCCCCTATCCCTGCTACTCTGTCTCTCAAAGTATTCTTAGATTTGGTTTAGTCCAGTTGTGCTGACTTCCCCTGTAGTGTGTGCTGTCCTTCCCTTCATCTAATATAGTTCCTGTCTACTATCTACTTAATGAATACCCATCTCCCTCCCTTCCCACCCTCGTAACCAACAAAGAATGTTTTCTTCTGTGTTTAAACCTTTTCTTCAGTTCTTGTAATAGTGGTCTTATACAATATTTGTCCTTTTGCGACCAATTTCACTCAGCATAATGCCTTCCAGATCATCCATGTTATATGATGTTTCACAGATTCATCGTTATTCTTTATCGTTGCATAGTATTCTATTGTGTGAATATACCATAATTTGTTTATCCGTTCGTCCATTGATGGGCACCTAGGTTGTTTCCATCTTTTTGCTATTGTGAACAGTGCTTCAATGAACATAGGTGTGCATATATCTATTCGTGTGAAGGCTTTTATTTCCCTAGGATACATTCCAAAGAGTGGGATTGGTGGATCGTATGGTACTTCTGTTTCTAGCTTTTTAAGGAAGCACCAGGTCGATTTCCAAAGTGCTTGTACCATTTTACAGTCCCACCAGCACTGTATAAGTGTTCCAGTCTCTCCACAACCTCTCCAACATTTATTATTTTGTGTGTTTTGGATTAATGCTAGCCTTGTTGGGGTTAGATGGTATCTCAGTGTAGTTTTGATTTGCATTTCTCTAATGGCTAATGATCATGAGCATTTCCTCATGTATCTGTTAGCCACCTGAATGTCTTCTTCAGTGAAGTGCCTGTTCATATCTGCCCATTTTTTAATTGGGTTATTTGTCTTTTTGTTGTTGAGGTTTTGCAGTATCTTGTAGATTTTAGAGATTAGACCCTGATCAGATATGTCGTAGCCAAAAATTTGTTCCCAGTCCGTAGGTTGTCTTTTTCTAATACTCTTTGATTATGAGATTTATTAATACATGGAGAGACCCCTTTGGGGCACCTAGAGCTTACCCCTAAGTTTTGTTTCTCTCAGGGCCTTTCTCTTTTTGGCCTCCCCAACCTGTCCAAGCATCCTATATGATGCTATGATTTGTTTTTCCTTTGTGACAGAACAAGCACACTAAAGAATTTCAGTATTCAGTTTCGCTAGATAGCAGACTATTTTTAGGTACCTCAATGACTATTTTCAATATATAGTCATGACCTCCTTCCCTTAATTACTTTTCTCTTTCTTGCTGACGTTGTCCTGAATACATCTGCAATCTATGAAGTGTTATTTTCATGCTGCCCTAGAACTATTGTCATCTTTTCTTTAATCTCTCTCCTGGTGTCCTAAATCCTTATGCCCCTGCTAAGATGATGGTTGTACTGTCTTCTGACTGGACTGTTGTTGGGTAACATGTGTTGAATCACCTTCTGAGGTCTGTGTTCTCCAGCAGTTCCTGGAGCAATGGGCCATGTGTTCAAGTACATACATTTTTAGAATTATAAAAGACCTGAGTTAGAGATCTAATTCAGCCTACCTACCCCCCGGGGCTCATTCTCCATCAGTTTACAGACCTGGAAACTGAGGCTCAAAGAGGCTAAATAACATATCCACAGACTGATGCAGACAGAGCACGTTCTAGATCTCAGACCAATGTCTTAACCATTGCGCCATGCAGCTTTAAAAACAAAGAAACAATTCTACTTTATTTCAAAGGCTGTAAAAAAAAAAGTCTGTGATTAATATTGGCAAAGGTTTATAATTAGTAATGGCAAAAAATCTGTGGTTTAGAATGGCAAAATTTTAGTCTTGTTTTTATATATTGCCCTTTTGGTTGCCTCATATGAAGCTTTAGGCAGGAACTTTGGATGTATTACCAGACTCCATCATACTCAGTTTTATTATCTTCAAGCGGGGAAAATGCACGTGGCTCTTCCTGTCTCGCAAGAATGTTGTGAAAATAAATATGAAATAATGAGTTGGCTTTTTCCAGGCCTTAGAATCTTTCCAGGGATCAAGCATTTTTTATACAACTGCATTAACTCTTCTGATTCTCTGCTCAACTATTAGATAAGGCTTTCAATAAATTTGATTCATATGTTTTTATGTTTGTAGTGATATAAAAGGTACATTCTAAGCTTGCCAGAGTGTCTGTTCCTAACATTACTAATTATCTGAAAACTAAAAGCCTTAAAGAATTTCTTCCACATATTGGAAGTAGATATTGTGGGCTGGGACTACTCAAGTGGCTATTAAAAAATGTGAGTTGAGGCAGAATCCAGATTAGAATTTAAAATGTTTTGTATCCTAGGATTATGACAATATCCTAACTCAAAGTCCATAATAAATAATTATAACAAGGTCTTTGAAACTGAAGGGAAATGCAAAGAATTTGGAAGGAGGTAGCATCTGATCTAAGGAGTAATTGCATCATATATTATTCATTTCTAGTCCTTTACTTTATAAACCTGTACATGGTGTGGTACATACTCCGTATTATTAAACATTCCTTTAATTAGTTAATACAGTGAGCACCATGAATTGTTATTGTTAACTACAGTTTCCCATTTTAATCAAACTACCGTTGGACATAACATAATGGGAAAAGCATTAATGCAGGTGAATCTGTAACTATAACTTTTACCTCCCACAATACACTAGACCTTACCCATTATCCACTAGACCACAATTCAGCAGATTCTTGGTTCTCCCATGTGATCAGCACTGTCAGTATCATCTGCTTGTTAAAAATGCCCCACCCCAGACCTACTAAATCTGCACTTTACTACAGTCCCCAGGTGATTCAGTTGCTCATTAAAGCTTGAGGAGCACTGACCATGCAGTTTTCACTTCACTTCACCCCCATTGGCCCATGAGGGAACACCCTACTTTTATATCTGATGTGCACAAGAAGACCATCTATGAAAACCAATGCTGCTGTAATCCAGTCCTTTGCTGAGTGCAGTTATCCTCTACTCCTTATTTCCAAAAAATAAATTTTTTTTTACGTATTTTCAATTTTAGTTTTTAATCTGTTCCACCTGGCTTTCATAAAGTTGATTATTCCTGCTTTGACTTTATGCCTGAAAATAATTTGTAATCTTACAATTCCTGGAGTTCTTGTTTTATTTGGAATATGGAATACCGTTAGCAAATTTATGTTTGGGAGGAAAAAGTAAGACTGTTAACAAAGAGCAATAATTGCCTCTTTTTTTTTTTTTTTGGGCTAGTGTTTAAAACTCTGAAAGGGGATATTCACTTTGATTTCTTTCCTTTTATTCTAAGTAGGAAGTAATGTAAAAGAGGATTTTTTTTTAGAAAAACAATGTAATTGAGAATTAAACCCTTGTTAACATAGCCATTTTCATCCTGAGCTATAGTTTTCTCAGTCTATCTAATGAATTTCATTTGTCTTAAGAATAGTTTAACACTGCCATATCCCACTACTTAAAATCATTGGGAGTTACATTGAATTTTTTTTTCCCTTCTCTCAAGTTTTCTAATAAGCTAAGGAAATACAGTTAATGGGCAGTATTGGGTCTCTGCATGTGACAGGTATGCCATTTGCATTAAGATCAAGGTGTGCTACCTCAGAATATAGACATGCCTCAGCAGTGCCAGTGTCCATCCTAGGAAATGAAGATGCGCTCATGGACATCTCCCTTCATCAAGAGAAGGGCCTCCATGAGCAACTGCGCCACCACAATTTTATTATGCCTTACATGATTATATTAGATTTCACCTAGAAAGGATAAGGAAACTTGAATATACTAGACAGAGAGGGAACTCTCATTGAAAATCCATGGTGCAGTGATATCACCTGCTTCTGAAGACATCTGTGTTTCCTTAAATGGACAGTGTTTGGTTCATTAGGACTTTTGAATGTCCACCTTTAGAGAAGAAGCTGAAGAGGAATGCATCTTTGGCCTTGAATCACTCACCCCCAGTCCAGTGGAGTCAGGCAGGGAATGAAAGTCAGTACTTAGGAGCACAGTGTTAGCTGAGGTGAAGGCCAGACTTCCTCAGGTGCTAGGGATTTGCTAATCCCACTAGTCTGGATGACCAGCATAAGAAGGCTTTGGTAAAGTTGGGAAAGCCTTCCTGGGGGCACTAAGAAAACAGGAGATAGAAGCAGAAGAGTCACATTGCAAGAAGAAGGGTAGACTTACCTAATTAGAGTGTCGATAGCCTGAACCAGATACTGAATGAAATGATGCTAGAAGAGCCCCGACTCCGAGCCCTCCTTGTCCGCCATCCAGGAACTTGGTGGTTCTCAATAATGGCTGGAGAGGGCGGGGGATGGAACAAATCAGAATCCTCAGAGGAGCTTTGTTAGAAGACAACTGCCCAGGTCCCTGCCGCAGAGCCTGAGTCCTCCCAGGGCACACCACAGACGACATAGTTTACTAGTTGAGAACTTGAGTTCAGAGCCAGCCACACCGGAGATGGAATTCTAGCTCTACTCTTACTAGCTGTGTGACCTTTGCCCAACTAATAAACCTCTCTTATCCCCATTTTCTTATCTGTAAAATGGTGATGGTATTGATAGTACCTACCTCTTGGGGATGTTACATGAATTGGGAGAAATACTCTGTGCAAAATGCTTGGTACAGTACCTGTCATAGAAGCAGACACTCAGGGAATGTAAATTTTTCTATCATGACTAGAACATAATTTTATTCAGAAGAAAATTTGAGCTCTTGTCCAACCCTGAAAAGAACAAGGTGAACAAAATAACTGATTATAATTCTAGACATCAGTCTCTTTTAAGGACATTAGAATCATGGTACATACCCAAACTGTTATAATTTCACTTGAAAGACTTGCAATTTGAGTTATGATGAATATAAAATGTTGTCATCCTGCTTATCAGTTTCCTCCAAGCATAAATGTTTTGAGTAACTTGTGATGACAACAATTTTTCTGGAAATCAAAAAGGCATATCTAACTGGTTCTCTTCCCTCCCCCCCAACCCCATCCAACCCGGGAAGAATTCCCTGACCAGGAGCGCACCCCTTCCCAACGACTCCCAAGCTCGCAGTGGAGCTCGTTTCCACACTTCCTATGACAAAAGATACGTCATCAAGACCATTACGAGTGAAGATGTCGCTGAAATGCACAACATCTTGAAGAAATACCACCAGGTAATTTTTTTCTTTATCTTTATTCAAACTCTGAGAAGGTTAAAATTCGTGACTAATGATCATCGAGGCCAATGGTTTAAATATATAGTTAGGAAATCATAAGAACACATCTGACATGAAAATATCCTTGTTGTGTGCTGTGGAGTTGATTCTGACTCATAGCAACCCTATAGGACAGAGTAGAACTGCCGCATAGGTTTTCCAAGGAGCAGCTAGTGGATTTGAACTGCCAGCCTTTTGGTTAGCAGCCGAGCTCTTAACCACTGTTCCACCAAGGCTCCTGGGTCTTTTAAAATTATCATGGCCGGGTTACTAACATTTGACCTTTAGGAATGCTTATACTATGAAGATTGTTGTTATTTATGTAACACTTTCAATCCAAAGACTCTTCTGTATAATAGTTTTGATGATCACCATTCTGATTTTGAAATCACTCAGGTTAGGGTTTGTCAACATTTCAGGAGTTTATTGCCAGAAGTTAGGGGTTGACCTCTTAGTATTTATCCATTTACACCTCCAAATCCTATCCTGCCTTCACTAGTCTCTTCCTGTCCGTGCCTGCAGAAAGGCCTATCCTGCTTGCATTCTACTGCTGAGAAAATATTCTCATTTTAGAACATCAGTGTTGGTCCACTTCCGGCTCCTTTTTCACCCCTCAGCATTATCTCTTTGAGATTGCCTGGAGATAACATGAAACTGCTCTTGGGAATAGCAATGTCTTTCTCTCATAGAATAAATTCCCAGCACACGTTTGCATGGTGGGGCAGATGTTCAGCCCGAATTATGAGAGGACTGAATTACTGTAGTAATAAGAGTGTCAAGTCCAGTGTTGGACAATCCTGGGTTCAAATCCAAGCCCTGTCACTTACTAACCACATGACTTTTGGACTTTGAAGCCTCCGTTTTTTTTCATTTGTACAGTGGAGATAATAATAACACGTAACTTATGGAGTCCTGAAGATTCAATAGAGAAATGTAAGGTCAAATATTTAGCAGTGTCTGCCACACACTAACCAGTTGCTGTCGTGTCAACCCTGACTCATGGCAACCGCATATATGTCAGAGTAAAGCTATGCTCCATAGGAATTTCAGTGGCTGATTTTTCAGAAGCAGATCACCAGGCCTTTCTTCCAGGGCACTTCTGGGTAGACTCAAATCTGCAACCTTTCAGTTAGCAGCCAAGCATGTTAACCATTTATACTACCCAAGGACTCCCCATCCACTAGGCACTCAATGAATGAGGGTGGTGATGGTAGCAGTATCATTGTCATCAAGATGATAACTTACAACAATAACTAATAACTAAATAATCTTGATAAATTGTAGTCTTATGGCATGAATATGACCATTGCTTGCAACAATGCAAGAATCATCTTCACATCTGGTGTTTGAACTATCACTGATCACATAAACACACGCACAAACACAACATACATGCATAGAGCTGCTTTTAGGATCATGCTTTGTTTTTTGCCTAAATAGCTACAACTCCCTCTCAAAGGTAAAGATTGGCAGTCACAAAGGATATTCAAAATAAAATGCAACAGGCCTTGACTGTGTTAACAAAAGAATTCTCAAACTGTTTAAACAATGGCATTATTATTATTAAGTATTAGACTTCTCAAAGTGTCTACTTTGAATGGAGCACTCACTTGGATTTGGGAGCTCTGAGATGTCTGTTTAAAGGTCAGCTTCATTACTTTATGGTCATGCTTTATGCTCTAATATCATGGATAATTTCTTGGGAGTTGCTTTTCCTTCCAATCTTGCAAATGTGATCACTTGCATTTTTGGAGAGAAGTACATAAAAATTTTGACATAACTCAAGACTGCCTCTAATTTGTTTTCTAAAAACCCTACTTATTCTCTAAATTCATTTAACATCTAATAAATCTTTCATAACATCTATTCCTTTTGAAATATGTTCTACAACATGTATGCTATTGCCTATTAGAGAGGAAATTTTAAAAGTGACAGAATAGGAGGTGGGGCCAAGATGGCGGAGTAGTCAGACACTGCCGGTAGACCCTATTACAGCAAAGACCCGAAAAAAACAAGTGATTTGATTATATATGGCAATCTGGGAGCCCTCAACATTAAAGGCAGAGTTGAAGAACCGGACTGAGTGGCAGGGGGAGGGAGGGATGGTTCAGAAGCAGGGAGGAGTTGCCAGACCTGACCTGGCGAGAGCCTGAGCCCTTCAGGCCTGATCAGCTTGGGGGTGAGCGGTGAGGCAGGCAAGCAGCCGTGCTCAAGAAGCACGTTTTCTGTACCGGGAGAGACCCAGTGCCAGAGACTCTACACGGACACCCGGAACCAGTGAGAAGCAGCCCTCCACAAAAGATAAGTACTTGGGTACAGCTTATTGTGTGGATCAAAAACACCCCCCTTAGGGAAAAACCTCTCTCCCGTTTACCTCCCCGCTCCCTGCTCTGCACTGGGTCCTGGACCGGCTTCAGCAATTGCCGAATCCCCTGGGCTGGAAGTAGGATCTGTCACACGCCCGGAGACATTCTCCCTGCCTTGCAGAGTGAACAAATTAACAAACGGGAAGAAATAAACTGCCGGCTCCCCTAAGCCAGGAACCCATGGTAGGCACAGCTCCTTTGCCTAGGCACAGGCATAAGTGATCCATGGACTTTGAGTGCCTTTCCCCCTGCAGAGACTTGTGTGGGCCCATCTCAATAGCGTAGGCCCTCATTACCACAAGTACAACAGGGTATATACTAGAACTCTAACTTCAACTGTTTCAGCTATGAAGTGGCAGGTTCTTGACATTTGACAGTACTCTGCCCATAAAGCAGGGTCTTTACCTACCCACATCAGGGGCCTCAGGACCGGTGGCTCCACCCAAACCACCTAGCCACCTGCAAGAGGGGCCCATGAATAAGAGGTGCCCCCCAGTCCTTACAACCAACAGCAATAAGTGCTCATAGTCTGGCTGCAAAACCCACCTACCTACATGCTCTAGGGAACAGGGACACGTCTTCCTCCTGGACACTTGGGGGAGGCCGTCAGCCCCCTGCCTTGCTCAGAGTGTGTTCCCCTGCTGCAACCAGATACCTGTGCCTACACCAATCACCTATGCCTGTCTAGGACTGTAAATGAGAGCCTACACCACACACTTGGTGGCTGTCTACCTGGGCACCTGAGATGAATCCATATAGGAGGAGTGGGTGGACTCCTAAGCTCACATATCTAGTAACAGATCTAACCACCTGGTGACAGAGCATTAGAACTTCAAAGGTGCCAATAATCAAACTAGCTCATATGAGCAGCCTCTTTGGGCATATCAGTACAAAACGAGAAGCTATGACACAGTAAGCAAAATGAAATAAATAAATATAAGAACTTATTGATGGCTCGGAGACTACAGTTAATATCAAATCACATAAAGAGGCAATCCATGATGGCTTCAGCAAGCTCCCAAAATAAAGCATCTAGAAATTTTCCTGAGGAGGAAAATTTCTTGGAATTACCGAAGGCAAAATACAAAAGATTAATATACAGAACTTTTCAAGAAATTAGGAAGGAAATGAAGCAAAATGTAGAACACGCAATAGAGGAAATTAAAAAGATTAGAGAAGAGCATAATGACAAATTTAACAGGCTGCATAGAGAGACAGCAATCAGAAATCCAGAAGATTAACAATAAAATTTCAAAATTAGACAACTCAATAGAAAGTCATAGGAGCAGAATTGAGGCAATGGAAGTCAGAATTAGTGAGATTGAAGATAAAGCACTTGACAACAACTTATATGAGGAAAAATCAGATACAAGGATTTTAAAAAATGAAGAAACCCTAAGAATTATGTGGGACTATCAAGAGGAGTAACCTACGAGTGATTGGAGTACCAGAACCGGGTGGTCCGGGGGGGGGTGGATAACAGAAAATACAGAGAGAATTGTTGAAGATTTCTTGGCAGAAAACTTCCATGATATCGTGAAAGATAACAACATATCTATCCAAGATGCTTATCGAACCCCACATAAGGTAGATCCCAAAAGAAAGTCACCAAGACACATTATAATCAAACTTGCCGAAAACCAAAGATAAAGAGAGAATTTTAATAGTGGCTAGGAATAAATGAAAAGTCATCTACAAAGGAGAGTCAATAAGAATAAACTCGGACTACTCAGCAGAAACCATGCAGGCAAGAAGGCAGTGGGATGACGTATATAAAGCCTTGAAGGGAAAAAACTGCCAGCCAAGAATTATATATACAGCAAAACTGTCTCTCAAATATGATGGCGAAATTACAGCATTTCCAGATAAACAGAAATTTAGGGAATTTGCAAAAAAAAAAAACCAAAATTACAAGAAATACTAAAGGGAGTCCTCCAGTTAGAAAATCAGTAACATCAGATAACAACCCAAGACTAGAATATACGACAGAGCAACCAAATATCAACCCAGATAGGGAAGTCAGTAAAACACTGAAAACAGGGAAACAGAGATGTCAATACGTAAAAGATGACAACATTAAAACAAAAAAGGGACTGAAAAATGTAGACATAGATTTTTCCTATGGAGAGGAAGGCAAGATGATATAAAGAAACAAAAGACTAGTTTAAACTTAGAAAAATAGGGGTGAATATTAAGGTAACCACAAAGGAAACTAACAATCCTACAAGTCAAAATAAAAACTAGAAAAATATAAACCTGAGCAAACACAAACTCAACAACAATGAAAAACATGAAAAGAAAATACATAAGGAAGAACAACTCAGCGCAGAAAATTAAGTGGAACAAAGAAACTGTGAACAACACACAAAAAAAGACATCAAAATGACAGCACTAAACTCATACCTATCAATAATTATGCTGAATGTAAATGGACTAAATGCACCAATAAAGAGACACAGAGTGGCAAATTGGATAAAAAAACA